TAGCCTGGTCTACATAGTGAGTTCCAGGCCAGCAGGGGCTACAGGGAGACTCTGTCTAAAAAAAAAAAAAAAAAAAAAAAAGACCAAAACAAAGGCCATCAAGCAAGAAATATTTGTCGTACAAAGAACAGCTAAGGGCTGTGTGACTAGTGAGTTGGAGAAGATAATGCAGAAGGAGGGTCCAGGTCACATGGGCCTTGAAAGCAATGGGATACTGCTGTGGTGGTTTGAAATAGGTAAAATACATGGTTTGCCTTGGGGGCTAATAGAAATAAGGAGACATCTTAAATCATGTATGATAGTGACTTAACGTCTTACAGTGACTTAATGCTAGAAGTTGCCAAATTACAGTTTTATTTGAAAGAATGGAAAGCATTGACAAGTTTAGATTAGCTGCTAGGTAAGAGAAAAAGAAAAAAAAAATGTTGATGCTAAGGTTTTAAGTTGTGTTACTCTAAGAGCATGTTTACTGAAGTGGTCAAGGCTAAGGACACAGCAGGATTGGAAGGGTAGTATCAGGAATTTAGTCTCGGGAAATTTTAATTTGAGCCACCTGCTGATATTTTTTTAAGATTTATTTTTATGTATATGTGTTTCTGTGTACATATATAAGCACATGTGTGCAGGTGTCCATGGAGGTCAGAAGAGGGCATCAGATCCCCTGGAGCTAGAGTTATAGGCAGTTGTGAGCCACTCAGTGTGGGTTCTGGGAACCAAACTTTGAACCTCTGCAAGAGCAACAAGTGCTCATAACTATTGAGCCACCTCTCCAGCCCCCTACTTGATATTTTTATGCAGTGTAGAATAGGCAATTTTACATATGGATACAAAGGGAGACAGACATGAGATCCATAGATGAAATAACTAGGAAAAAGCATACACATAGAAGACATAAGGGGCCTTAAAGCAGTTCAGTAGTGGGAAGTCAGGGAGCCAGGGAAAAAATTATAAAACGGGAAGTGCAGTAGTTCTAGTGAGGTGGGAGGAAAGGACTGAGAGGTGTCCAGATACTAAAGAAATGTCTCAAAATTACATAAATGGTTGCTTTTATGTAACATTGCCAAAGCCTAATGTGAAGACTGGGGACTGGTTATTATTTTTGCTGAGGTTTATCTGATAATGATTGCTTGAATATAGCTCCTCCTGTCCATCCTTAGACTCAAAATACCATGAGGTCAGCAAATATTTGTTAAATCTGTACTCCTGTCACTCTCCTCAGTCCCTCGTCCTTCATCTGTTTCTAGCCTCATACTAAGTCCAGATGTCTGACCTTCCTTGCCTGACAAGCACTTCAAGGGTTTCCCATTGCACGTCTTCTGTGAAACAAGCTCATCCTGTCCTCTGCTTCAGACTCTCGTCCTGCTACTCTGCCCATAGTTATGCCTTATCTTACAGAGCACTTTATAGATGACCGCAAACTTTATGATTTCATACTTCTATGGCTTGACTTATTCTGTTGTGCTAGCCTAGAGTGGCATTCCTACTGTGTGTGAAGAAATGGAAGACTTTTCTGAACTCAGTCCACAGGCAGCCTCCATAATTAATACACTGTGTTATCCTTGTCAATGGTTCTTATTTTATGCTAAATTTAACCTTTTATGTGTCTGTTACTCTCTGTAGTCAGTTTCTAGAACCAGGAGTACATCTTTATTCATCTACCTGTCTCTGCTTGCTGCCACAATGCCATCCTATTGATAGGAACTCTAATTGAATTTTAAGAGAAAAATAAAGGGACACAAATGCAGGTGTAAGCTGAAGAAGAGCTCTTTGCTATGACAGCAAGTGGAATGAATGATAATAGAGAATTCTAGACTAAGCAGAAGGCAAACTTGTAAAAAAAATAATAAAGATACAGTTTTTTTGACAGGGTCTCCCTGTAGCCCCAGCTGGCGTGGAGCTCACTATGTAGACAAAGCTGGACTCAATTTCACCAAGATCCTGCCTCTGCCTCCCAAGTGCTGGGACTAAAGGTGTCCACCACCATGCCTGGGAAGATACACATTTTAATAAATAAAAGATATACTGTATTAAAAGGATGTAAACACCATACTGATGTTAAAATGACAGGAAAAAACTAGGAATATAATATTTAATTATTTTAAATTCTTTGAAATTATTAAGTTCTATAGTAATTTGCAATTCAGTTCTAATCTGTATTAAAATAGATGAAATGGTAGATTATTATATGCATAATTTGCAATGCTAAAGTTTGGTCTTAATTTTTAATTTGCAGGACATCAATGCAATCCTGAAGACAAGCATTTGCTTCCTCCTAAGCCATGGCATATCAGTTATACAGAAATACAACTTTGGGAAACAGTCTTCAAGAAAGCCTTGATGAGCTCATACAGGTGGGGGCCGAACATTTGAACATTTAAACACTCTCATTTAGATGGGTCTGTATACTTAGTCTGTTTTACCCAGCAAGTCACTACACTGACACCACTAACCTCAGAGTCCTGTGGATAACACTTGTCATGGCCAGAATGAAAGTAAGATGATTGGATAAGATACAGTGAGTATTTACTTCAAGAACATTTGTTAAAACCTTTTAAGTTAGTGATTTTCTCTTCTCATATTGAGAAGCATATTCTCTCATTTTAAAAGTAATTCCTTCCAGCTTAATACAGTCTTTTGAGATTTAAGTTTAAATTTTGCATTTATATTTCAGTTTTGAAATAATACTCATATCACCAAACTATACAAGTATTAAATATTTCTCTTTGTGTTCTGGTTTTGTTTGGGGGTTGTGGAGAAATTGGTTTTGGTTTTTTGAGACAGGGTCTCATGTAGCCCAGGCTGTTCTTCAATGTGCTATATCCCTAAGGATGACCTAGAATTCTTGGTCCTCCTGCCTTGTCTTCCAAGGCTGAGATTGCAGGTGTGCACCGGCATGCCTGGCTCCATTTGTTTTGATATCATTATGTAGACCTTGGTAAAATTTGTCTTTGCTTTGTTGTTTACACACATCTCATATCTTTTATTCAGAAGAAACATGGTCCCCATTTACTTAACACCTTGTACAGACACTGGAGGAATGACAGATTTTCCTGACTTTGTAAAATGACTGCATGTTTCTTTTCAAAATTGTTCTCTTGTCACGATAGTACAGAAGTTCTTTTCAGGCTTTGCTTCTTCAGCGTCAGTTAGAAGAAAGGAGAATAAAGAATGTTAATTCAGAGGTTCTGATTAACTTGTATTAAATTTGAGATGATAGTTTATATGCCGTTTACTGATTTTGACTTCACTGTTCTTCCCTTTGCGGATTTATGACCTCCATTTCTTCTCAGTCTCAACAGATCACCCCCCAACTTGCCCTTCAAGTTCTACTTCAGTTTGATAAGGCTATAAATTCAGCATTGGCTCAGAGGGTCAGGAACAGAGTCAATTTCAGGGTAAGGATATTTTCCTAAATCTAGAAGCTTACACCAGTTAACTGTTCAAGGGCCCACATGTGTTTATTAATCATAGGAGGATTTGGCTAGTCTGTTTTTGGAACTTGTTCTAATAATTAAATTATACCTTATTTTTAAATCAGCTGTATAGTAAGTTCATCCATTCCATGTGAGATACAGAGTTGCTTTTAGATTTTTATTTCATACTTTGATATACCAGTCTCTCTGTATGTTTGGCTACCTTCCTTGAAGAATTACTGAGAGTTCAGATGCCTGAAAACATTAACTGCAAGGTCAAAGGTAAGTGGCAGAGTTCATCCCTAAGGTTCAGTTATGGTTTTCAAACTCTGACCTTCCAGAAAAAAGTTATTTATAGAATCTTCATGTTGCCTCACACCTACCTTTAGAAAACTTGACTTATAAAAATCTGAACAAATAGTAATGGTCTGTTCTGGTAGCTGGGCACCATTTGAGTCATTTTTGCTTTGAACAAAGTACCTCTCTCAATTTTGTGATAAATGTAGGTTAAGAACTCATACATGATGAGATAAATAATTTTACCATGTGGTATTAGTGGAGATGCATTATGCATAGAGATGTTGGGTTATTGCCCTATTTCTGTAATAGTTAGCTTGTATTACAAGATATAACCCTAGGGGCTAGAGAGATGGCTCAGTAGTTAAGAGCACTGACTGCTCTTGCAGGACTCCTCTTCAGTCCCCAATCCCACATGGTGACTAACAACCATCCTAACTCCAGTTCCAAGGGATCCAATATCCTCCTGACATTGGCCTAGCACAGGTGCACTTACATGCATGCGGGGAATACACTCATACCCATAATAAATATATGACAGTCAGTATATGAAAATAGTCACCTTGTATGTACAAGGCGGTGGTGGGGGTGGTGTTTTTGTTCTTGTTGATAAAGCACAAAATGTATTTTTTGACAAACTTTTAAGTGCCTATTAGATGGTAGACATTGTTCTAGATACTGGGAATACAAATGTGAGGAAGATAGGCAAGATCCCCATTTGAGAAGGTGTCATGTCTCCAAGGATATAAAATTTGACCAGTGGATTCTTGAATTTAACAGTAGTGAGTCAGGCAAAGTCGTTATTTATAGAATCATGTAGCAATCTGTCCAGTTTGAAACTGGGCTTTATTTTAAATTAATTCATGTTAAGCAACATAATTTTTTACTGTAGTATAGAAAATAAGATGGAGGGACTGGAGAGATGGCTCAGCAGTTAAGAGCACTGACTGCTCTTGCAGAGGACCTGGGTTTAATTCCCAGCACCCACATGGCAGCTACAAACCATCCTTAACATCCAGCCCAGGGGAATCCGAAGCCCTCTTCTGACCTCCATGGCATTGCACAACACGGGTGCACTCACATACACGCAGGCAATACACTCATACACATAAAATAATAAAAAAATTTTTTTGAAAAAAGAAAATATGATGGATTATTTATCAGAGGCAGTAAGGGTCACAAGACCTAGATAGTCTTCCAATTGAACTGTTGTAGGTGTCTTTCATACTCCAGGCCACATCTAAAATGCTTGTTTATATTTGAAAGTGAATATTAGTATGCCAGCCATAAATCCCAGTACTATATTTGTTCAAATGATTGACAGACTATCAGTTGGTATGAGATCATTGGTTACACACAAGTTCAAGGTGCCAGAAACGAATATAGGTTAATATGTTGCCATTTAGCCTTCCAAAGCCTCAGAGTAACTCGCAAAGGAAGTGGATCTCAAAGTATTTTTCATATTTGCAATTCTTTTTCACCTGACCTTATGTCATAATGATTTTTCCATGTATATCTCTCACCAAGCCACTACATCTGCTGTTGCTAAATCTAGAGCATAAATTGCAATGCTGTTATTTCCTCCCTGACTTGATTCTTTCCTCTGTTTCTATTCCCTGGTCTCTTCCTCTTGTCTCCTGTCATAATGGAGGGCATTCTTCAGTTTTCTACCATGTGTTGACCTAGAATGATCTCATTCAAACCCGTGGCCGTTGTAAACAGGAATGTGTTCATGCTGCCTTGTTTTCTCCTTCATTCCAACTGCTTATTGAATATTATAGCTTAGATATGTCGGAATCTCAAATCTAAATTTTGCTTTTCTTCCAAAGGAGCTTTTTCTGTGAATCCACTGTCACTCAAGTTAAATTTGGAAATTACCAGTGTTTCTTCCCATTCCACTGTATCTGTAATTGTCCAGACCTGTCGGCTGTGCCTTTTAAAATTCTTCCATTTCTGTTGATCCCTTGTTATGACTATAATGAATCCCCTTTGACCTCTCTGATTTTGCTGCCTAGGAGGCATCAGCTTCTGATCTTATGCCTCTTAATCTCATTCCAATGTAACCCATTGTATTAGTCACTTTTCTGTTTCTGTGATAAAAAGTACATGACCAAGGGAACTTAGGGAAGGAAGAGTTTATTTGGCTTACAATTCCAGAGGAATAAGAGTCCGTCGTGGTGGGGGAGGCATGGTGGCAGAGGAGACCCGAGCAGAAAGCTGAGTGCTCACGTCTTCAAGCATCCACAGAAATCAGAGGGGGGGAATTGAAAGTGGGGTGCGGCCATGAATGTTCAAAACCTTGCCCTAGTGACGTTTCCTTCAACATGACCACACCTCCTAGAGGTTCCATGACCTCCCCAAACAGTGCCACCAGCTGACCAAATGTTCGAATACTTGGAGCTTATTTGGGGACATTCTCATTCAAACCATCACACCCATTCTTTTTGTCATCACCCCAGGAAAATCAAATCATGTGGGGTTCCTCTGATTAAAGTTCTTCATTAATTCCTAATAACGTTCAGATAGGGCACAGGCTTTCCAGGATTCTGTGGTTTCCTTCACATTAGCACCCCCTGAAATACTGTTTTCTGCAGTCTCTTGCTCTGTTCCAAGTGTTCCTATTCCTTTCCATTGTCTCACCACTCCTTTAACTTCAACATTCTTCAAGACTCAAGCTTTACTTTGTAAGAGCAACTCTGCTGTACACCCCCTGTACCAAATAACTTTTTCATAACACTGTTACATAGTTTTAATGGTCTGCCTGCTGAACTAAGCTGATAATGGAGACCAGTGCCTTCTGTTGTATCCTCAGAGTAGCAAAATCTAACATACAGCAATTATTCTTGTCTATTAAGTTTATTAACTAATTCATTCATAGCCATCCTTGTTTTTGACATCATTCTCACTAACACATTTGGATCGAATCCAGTTTTCAGCAACACAAATAATGTTGTAAGAACCTTTTTTCTTTCTTGACTACTTGTTTTCTTGAGTTAACGATTTTAGGTGCTTACCTTTGCCACTGAGAGGTGATAGATGCCTTTAGTCCCAGCACCTGGGAGGCAGAGGCAGAGGCAGGCAGAACTCCATGAGATCAAGGTTAGCCTGCTCTCCATAGCAAGTCCAGACCAGCTGGGCTAAAGGGAGGCCCTGTCTCAAAAAGACAAAAAAAAAAAAAAAAAAAAAAAAAAAAAGGAAAGAAAAGAAAGAAAGATTGTTAAATATCTGGTGCTAAATTTCATATGGGAATGCATGTATGCATTCACAATGTATGTCTTGGGTTTTTATTCTACTCTCTTAGTGTGCATTCTACACTTTTATCACCCACTAAAAATGTTTTCTTTCAATATTCAAGTGTATGTTCCTGGTCCTAAATCAAAATATATTTTTATTAGAAGAATCAGTTGCAACAGTGAACCTTATAGTTTTAATGGCTAACAGTGATACTTCTGGGCTAAGTCATGGGATTAAAATTGGTTTAGTGTTTCTAAAGAATCTCTGCTTTTGTACAAGTTTGAGAATGAACACACAATAAAATATGGAACTTTAAACTATTTTTTTAATTTAAATGGGGGCTGGAGAGATGGCTCAGCAGTGAAGAACGCTTGCTACTCTTACATGATTGGTTCTCAGCACCCACATCAGGTAGCTCATAGCTGCCTATATAACTCTAACTCCAGGGGATCTGACACCCTCTTCTGGACTCCATGGGCACCTGCATAATAGGTGGTATTCATACATTCAAGCAGGCACACATACATAAGCACAAATAAATCTTTTTTAAAAAATCAAGTGAACTTTGATAGTGCAGCCACATGAGGGCAGTAGAAATACAAATTCCAGCTTTTGTACAGCCTTTCTTTTCAGGTAAGTAATCTGCAGATTCTTTTATAGTGCCAGTAATAGTCTGCTAACTAAAATGTTTTTGAACTCTTCTCTAAATAAATTTGTCCAGGTTTTTCCTTTTTTAAATAGGTAAGATTAAGAAAAATCTTAAGAAAGCTAAGCATTAAACTGAACAATTATATCCTTGCTTGCTGAGTTCTCTTAAGTTGCTTAAGGAATAAAATGTGAGGGAACAATGACTTTTCATGGCATATCTCGATGTTTTATTTTAAAGGGCTCTCTAAATACATACAGATTCTGCGATAATGTTTGGACTTTTGTATTGAATGATGTTGAATTCAGAGAAGTGACAGAGCTTATTAAAGTGGACAAAGTGAAAATTGTAGCCTGTGATGGTAAAAGTAAGTGTTCAACTAATTACTGTGAAAAAAGAACGTGAAATCTTTTTATGCCTCTTAATGATCTTTATCTGTTTGAAAGTCTCAGGGGAAATGGTCACCTGATTGCCCCCAAATAGAGACCTGGCTTCTGTCTTGGTCAGATTCTGAATTCCACATTTGTCCTTTCCCTGATGCTACACCTGTATACTTCAGGTGACATAAAGACTGCTCACACACATTAAACTTACATGGAAAAGAAAATAAATTTTCCTTCCCTGTTCAGTTGTATATTTGAAGTGCTCCCTGGGCTTTACACAGCCACTTTTCTCTTTAAGGAAGTATTGTGCAACTTTGGCCATTTATTTTAAGATTTCTGTGTTGCTTGATATGCCTACACTTATTTTAAAGCAGATTTAAATCAACCATATGAACCCTGCAGTCATCATAATGGTAGATACCCATTCCTCTGGCCTTGTTCATTTGTGCAAGTGAATTTTCCACAGCAGATCTAGGAGCTTGTTCACATCCTTAAACATTTGAAAAGCAGCACATTTCTGCCCTCTGTTTCATGATTGGTTGTTACCTTTCTGATTTTATTGTTGTTTAAATAGAACTCAAGACCTTGTGTGTGGTGGACTTGTATTTTATACCAGGCTATATCCTAGTCCTGTATTTTATTGTGCATTTACTTTTAATTTACAATCTTAAAGCTTTTTCATTTTATTTAATGTGTATGAGTGTATTGCCTGTGTATATGTAAGTGCACCCAAGTCATGCGGTGCCCAAGAAAGTCAGAAGAGGGCGTTGAATCCCCTGGAACTGGGGTTATGGGCAGTTGTTAGCTGTCATGTGGGTGCTGGGAATTGAACCCAGGTCCTCTGCAAGAGCAGACAGTGCTCTTAACCACTGAGCCTTCTCTCTAGCCCTTAATTTGCAATCTTAACAACTTGTATTAACCTATCTCTGAAGTATAAAAGACTGACATGCTCCAAGAAGAGGAGTTCTGAAAAGAGAACAAAAAATGAACGTTATGTCCCCATTTCATGTGTTACAAGTTTTTTATTTTGTATATTTTGGATGTTTAAAGAAATAATCACTGAAGAAATGTAGTGATTATAGAAAAGTACACAGAAGTACAGCCTCATGTGTAACCCACCTGCAGATAACAGGTCACCTCCAATAGTGAAGATTCTCTAGGCTTAGAGATTTATTTATTTGATTTATTTTTTGTAGTAATACATCTGTGTACATAGAGACAGGTTTGCACATACATCATTTTCCCATACATTTTTTAAAAATCTGATTCCTAAGGCTACATACAATTAAGTTTTTCAGCCTTTCTTAAAATATACTCTTCCAGATATCAAAAAATCTAGGAAAATGGCACTATTACACTGATGACTGACTGACTGACTGACTGTTCAGAAGGCTAGCTGGTAGCCTAGTGACTCCCTAATGTGGTCATCAGATATTTAGGGTCTTTATCATTACTGGGAACAGTGTAGACATGGGTCAGTCTTAGTTTGGGTTTTTGTTTTCCAATTCCTATAAAGGTGGTGCTTTCTTCTGGATCAAAAGGGAACATTTCTATATTCAGCATCACTTTTACTTCTGTCATGGTTGTCTCCTTGTAGTTAAAGCTGACAGCACCCTTGCTGCTCTTAGGTTTTAAAGTTCTTACTGGACCATAGATTTAGGTGTTAATTTATAATTCCTAGATATCTCCAAATGAGTTGATATAGCTGGGCCAGGTGGCACAGGCCTGCAATCTCTGCTACTTGGGAAGCTGAAACAGGAGAATCACAACTTCACGGCCTACCCAGGCTGTAGATTGAGCTCAAGGCCAGCGTGGGCAACTTATCAAGACCCTGTCTCCAAGAGTAAAAACAGGGCTGGCTTGCCAAGCTTACGAAAGGCCTTAAGTGGGGTTGAGGTTTCGGTTGATGTGCACCAGTACTGTTAGTAGAATTTCTGGAATGATGAAATTGTTCTGTGCCTGCAGTTCTCAGTAACCATGTATGACTCTTGAACACTTAAAATGTGATTAGAACAACTGGAAAGTTTAATGTTCTATTTCAGTTCACTAACTAATTTAAGTATGAACACCCAGTAGGGTGACTACCAAATTGGAAAACATAGATGTAGACTAGTAGAGGGTTAATTTCAGACATTTGAACTGAGCAAACTTAATAATAGCAGAGAGACCATTTATAGATAGGTATTTTATGTACAGAAGCTTCTATCTGGTGGTCCTTAGAAAATGTTCCTCTTGTTTAAAAATGTAAAATTGTTGTTCCTAGTTTTAGAAGATAAGTAGCAGATCATCCTTACCTGTCTGGTTAGATTCTGGTCAGTGGAGAGCCTGTCTGGCTTAAAGCCACCTAACTGTGCTATGACCTTCAACAAGGATTTGAGTTATTAGAGATTCATTTTCAAAACTAAAATATAGTTTGGCCTTTACAGGTTAAATTCAAATGATTAAGAAATTCCATTCTTCGATGATTTTAAATGAATCAGATGCTACTATAAAATAATTCCATTTTACTCTAAAACGTAGCTTCCTAAAACAAAGCTGTGCTGTCAAGTACAGAAGGGAAGGTAGCAGCAGCTGAAGCCGGAAAGTTAGTGTGCTTCTCACCAGGATGGCAGGGTTGAGCTGGGGAAGCCTGGGTTTCTACAGTTATTTGAGCCTAGTGTGGCAATGCTGGCCTCATCTCCCCACCACTGCAAGGGTTACATGTTTTATCTCTGCTATGAGAGGGAACTTGTTGACCCTTGGCAAGGCATTTCCAAAGCTTCCCTCCCAAACACCACTACCGTAAGTTCCTCTTTATAGATATTCTTCAAGTGCTGAAATTTAAAAGTGCTGAAATTCCTTATATTTACCTCTTTCTTCTGTTTCTAGATACTGGCTCCAATACTACCGAATGAATAGAGAAAAAAATGGCTTTTTAATGCCGGCTTCTGTTATTATTCATTGCTTTTTGAGGAGAACATAGAAGAGACTTTTTTTAATTTATTTAGCTTTGCAAAAATGACAACACTGTGCTGTACTCTCTGACAATTCCAGCAGAAAACGGCTTAACTCTGTCTTCTCTTACATTACCTTTATTCTACAGCATAAAGGAATGTACTTTTTTTTTAATGACAAATCAAAAGTATCTCCTTCCAAAAAATATTCTTCAATAAACGCATTTTAAAACTCAATGTGAGTAGTAACTGGTGGAGCTAGTAAGCAGGGCATTGTGAAGACACTAGAGAGGCTTACAAAGGGACATAGAAAATGTGTTCGAGTCAATAAAATCATGTTTTGTAAATAGCAGTTTTATCTGGATTACACCAGAGGCAAACTCAAATGTGAATGGAATTGCTCTAAGAAAATCTCCCACTTTTTTAAAGTACAAATATAATCAATGTGAGAAACCTTAATACACCTAGACTAGGGAAACTGAGGCAGTCTTAGACAGATGCAACAACACCTAAGCCCTTCCAGACACAACATTCCTGAGTGGCAGTTCAGTTATCTTTGGACCTGGCCTTATTATAACTCTTGCATATACTTTTAATGATCTACATCTTCGAATCAATGAGGTTCTAATAACAGAAAGCCCTACTAAATATATAACATTTGTTTCCATATCTTTGTGTACTTGGAGGAAAACTGTCCAATCAGACTAGGAAAGTTTGACGAAGATTGTGGTATTTAGAAACCATTGAGAGTATCAGACAGCTGAATTTAGTAGCTGACTAGATGGATTAAGACTTCATGAAGACCAGGCCTTCCTTATCACTTAGTAAACATCCCCATGCTGGGGCAAACCCCATTGTACCTGGAGTGCAGTGCTTGTGCTGCCAGACCAGGATGACATGGTAAAAGAAGCAGTCAAGCTGGGGGAAGGGGCCTTGGAAGACCCTGACCCCAGCTTTCATCATAAGGCTTCAGTTTGAAGAATACTGTCTTGATTCTGGGACAAGAGTATGCCAAAACTGACACCCTGGAGGTCAGTCATGGCACTTCAGCAGTCCTAGAAAGCAGGTCAGAAGAACTGCAGTTGTTGGGCCAGGTGTCATGGTGCACACCTTTAATCTTAGCACCCTCGAGGCAGAGGCAAGCAGATCTCTAGGCCAGCCTGGTCTACATAAAGAATTCCAGGTCAGCCAGGGCTACCTAGTGAGGCCCTGACTCAGAAAATAAAGAGAACCAAAAAAAAAAAAAAAAAAAAAAAAAAAAAAAAAAAAAAAAAAGCTGTGTCTCAGTAGCTGCATTTCCTGACAGAATGACCTTTTGTTAGGCTAGAGATAGGTTGTTCCTGCTTCACCAAAAACTATGTTGCCAGGACACTCTCCCACCTTATAGAAAGGTTGGCATCGTCAAGAAACAGCTTCTGGGCTGAAGAGATGGCTCGGCTCAATAGTTAAGAGCACTGGCTGCTCTTGCAGAGGACCTGGGTTCAATTCCCAACACCCACATGGTGACTAACAACTATCTGTAAACGTCAGTTCCAGGGGATTCTGACGCCCTCTTCTGACCTCTGTGGGCTTTATACCTACACATGCAGGCAATATACTCATACACATAAAAAAATAAATAATAAAATATTTTTTAAAAAAAGAAACCTCAGCTTCATTATAATTTACATTATGGTTTGTTTTTTTTTTAGCTTTATTGTATGTATATGATAGAGGGCATGTGCATGTCTGTGGAGGCAGAGACAATTTTGTAGAGTCTTCATTTGATAATTTCTGGGGATTGAACTCCTTAGATTGTCGGGCTTGTCTGGCTGAGCCATCTCTCGTCTCCTACATTGTGGTTTTGACACCCGACCCCCTCCTTTGTGGGCTTCTCTATAAAGGATCATGGAAAGTAGACCCTAAAAGGCATGTCTTGGTCCACCATGATTCGGGCATATTCATGACTATGCACCCTACCTCATGTTTCATAAAAATGTCAGAATCCATACTGCTGAGCCCACTACTTTCTGGGTCAGCACACTCTGATCTCTGTGGAGTGCTTGCCTTGCTTTGCTAAATAAACTGCTTAAACGTGTTTATCTCAAACTAAGGATGTGGCTCCATAGGTAAAGTGCTTCTGCTTAGCATGAGGACCTGAAACCACACAAAAGCCAGTTGGTGTGCACCTGTAACCCAGTACTGCAGACGTAGTGACAGGATTCCTGGGGTTGCTAACAGCCAGTCTAGCCAAAATGGCAGGCTCTGGGCTCAGTAAACAGATCTCAAAAAACAGTAAGGTGGAGAATTGATTGAGGAAGACATCCTGATGTTGGCCTTTGACCACACACACACACACAGGGGCATACACACACAGAAAAAACCTGTCCTGCTTGAATTCTTTCCTTTGAGAACTGAGACCTACATAACAAAAGGTCATCATGATCTCTCTGCTGAGTTTTTTGGGGTTTTTTTTGTTTTGTTTTTTGTTTGTTTTTGTTTTTGTAGTTAACAGAAATACTCAGCAAAATAGCTTTTCTTTCCTGAGGATCTGAGTTCCATGCATAGAAGAAAATGAGAATTGTTCCCCCTAGACTCAAGTATTTGAACACTAGGTCCCCAGTTGTGGTGGTGCTGTTTGGAGGGTTATGGAATTTAAGAGAGGCAGCCTTGCTGGAGGAAGCATGTTCCTTGGACGGGCTTGACCCTTGCCCCACTTCCAGTTAGCCCTCTCTCTGCTTGGTGTTTATGGTTGAAGATGGGACCTCCCAGCTTCCTGCTCCTGCCTTTTGCAGTCATGATTCCCCACCATGACAGACTCTCCTCCCGAACCGTAAGCCAAAATAAACTTCCCATAAGTTGCTTTTGGTCATGATGTTGTATCACAGCAACAGAAAAGTACCTAAAACACAAGGCGGGAGCAGTGGTACATGCACACACAATGCTGGTGCTGGACAAGTTTTTTTGTTTTGTTTTGTTTTTTTTTAGTATGGAGGCTGTAGATGGTTGAACTCTGGTCCTCATGCTTGCAGAGCAAGCACTTACTGACTTGAGTCATTTCTCCAGGCCCCCTGCTCTCTTTCTGTTACTATCAACCATCTCATAGTCTGCTTCAATTAATCTCAAAAAGGAAAAAAGTTTGATCTAAGATTTTTATGTTTGGATATGCTCTGTCCTCATATTCAAACCTTTCCTGTCAGAATCAAAATGCTGCTCATCCTTTAGAACTTAGACAAGTTGTAGCTGTGTGGCACCCATATTGATGTCTTACAAGGGGGCAGAAAATAAACTTGAGAACAGCAATTATAATATAAGCACTGCTGCCAAAGGAGGGTGGAGGCTCATTCAGCTACTGCCTAGGCCAAGCTATGCCGCATTTCACCTCCATTGCATTCCACCATAAGCTCCTAACTGGCTCCTTGCTTTAATGCAGCAGCTAGACTCATCCCATTACAATGTTAATCACACCATATTAGTCCTCTACTCAAAACCCTCCAACGAGGAAAAGATGACAAAGTCCACACAACGAATCACAAAAACCTTTGTGATGTGCCCCCCTCCTCTGCACAGGCCTCTCAGCAAGCTCATGGCCTCATGCATGCTAGCCATGCACTCACTGTATCACTGAGCTACATCCGAGCCCTCCCAAATGTTCCTTCCCCCCGCCCCTTATGCAAGCTTCCTCAATGAAGCATGTGTGTTCCTGTTACAAGACCTTGCAAATCTCTACTCTTGACCTAGAATGTTCTTTCACTTATTTCCACAGATCATCCCCCATCTTCAGACCTCTACTAGAAAGTCATGTTTTCATTGAGGGCCTCCTTAGAAAAAGTCAAGCCTCTTCGCTCCTCACTCCACCCTACCTTCCCAAGGTCTCGCACTTCAATATCTCTCTAGCACTTGACACTTTCTAGTATTCGTTTATAATATGTTCACCCTAGCATGTGAATAATATGGGTGTGGAAATTTTCATATTTTGTTGACTGCTGTATTCCCACTGCCAGTAACAACTGGAGCCAGTGAGATGGCTTAGCAAGTAAAGGCATTTGCTGCCAAACCTGACAACCTGAATTCTATCCCTGGGATTGACATGGTGGAAGGAGAGAACCGACCTATGCAAATTGGCCTCTGACCTACACATACATGCTGTGGTATGGGCATGCCTCCGAGCCCCCATACAAATAATAAAGTTTTCTTTAAAAAACAATGTGTATTAATAAAAATTCAATTCGTATTTATGGAATGAATGGTTTTATTGTTTTTCAGTATACCATGTTTTATATAAAAGTGAGAATCATAACTTATTCACCTCTGTAATAAATAATGGCTAAGTGGAATATAAGATGTCTGGGCACTGGGCATGATGGCGCACGGTTTTAGTCCCAGCACTCTGGAGGCAGAGGCAGGCGGATCATCATGACTTAAAGGCCAGCCTGGTCTATAGAGCGAGTTCCAAACCATCCAGAGGTGCATAATGAGATCTTTTCTTTTTAAAAAAAAGAAAAGATCTTTAGATTGATCTGTGATGGTACTTCAAGGCAGGCAAGATATGAATTACTGTCTCCATTTTTAAACAAGATACTTTGCCTACTTTGCCTTCCAACTAAATTATATGCCCCTAAATTATCAGCTACTTTCTTGTCTACTTTTTTGTTGTTTTGTTTGGAGTGTTTTGTTGTTTGTTTTTCTTTTTTGGTCTTTTTGAGACAGGGCCTCCCTGTAGCCCCAGTGACCTGGCACTCTCTATGTGGCACTCGGCCTGCCTCTACCTATCCTGAGTGCTGGGATTAAAGGTGTGCCCACCACACCCGGCCCCTTTTCATCTATTCTTAATGAATTTTTCATTTAAGAGAAGAACATTATATTGGGCAGAGTGTGCAACAGAAACAAGAAACACAGTTGTGAAAATACTGCTCAACAATGGCCACAAAGAATGAAGAGGTGATTTAAGCCATGAGAAGTGATGCATACATAATGGCTCGATTCGTTTATGAGGTTTCTTGTTTCCAGAGAAAGGTTAAAGAAACAGTTAAAGAAACTCGGGAGGGAAAAGCAATAGATGTGCTAGTTTAAGCATATGAATTCTAAGATACAGTAAATAAATAAGGCTGAAGTTTGATCCTTCTGATATGATAACCTCATGTTATTTAAAAAAAAAAAAAAAAAAACTTTCATCCACCTAACTTTCTAGAGACAATTTTAATGCTAGGAAAATTCCAGAAACTTGTTTCCCCAAAAATGACAAGTTCACTGGCTGATGGCTTAAATGTATTTATATGAAAATTTCTAAGTTCATTGGAAAGCTTTTAGGGAAAGTTGACCATGAAGCTAAAGACCTAGGCTCTTTCATAGGAAATGTGTGTTCTGGGAGGTCTTTCTGCCTATATCCCATGGGGCGGCAGCACCCCCTTCCTTCCTCCTCAGAGAGGGCCAAGAACAGACAAGCCTGAGCAGTCACTACTGCAGGCAAAAGATGGTGTGCAGTCACCTGCGAGGACCTGATAACTTTACTGCTTGTGCAGGTAAGTTTGTGGTGACAAAGCCTGTCACTCAGGGAAGACAGTCTTAAAAAAGGATTGCCAACTTACAAGTACAAAATCCAGTCACATTCATGAGATACAGACAACACTGACTGTAGAAAGAAAACTTGAACTAAATCAAAACCAGAAATGAAGAAACACATTAACATCACAACATACTGATAACCTCATATTAATTTGTGTATAAATCTGTTTTCTAGAAAACATTGTACAGAGGTCAGCTATACCTTATTCAAAGACCTGTGGTTTTTAGTGCCCCTGCTGGTAACAAAAGAGAATGAATAGTGCCCAAGAATGAACTCTGGGGCTTCATACTAGGAACGTGTAAATGTCTGCAAACGCATACACATAGGCATATACATTTACACGCATTACTGTGTTCTCAGAGGGAATCTACAAAATCACAGTGACCCTGACATTCACATAGTGAAATAAGGGAGTTTTGCTTCAAGAAGCTTGAACAGAAAAATCAGGCACTTTGGAAGACAGTTTATTTTGTCCCAACATTAACAACAGTGCAGCCTCTGCCCCTATTAAAAGGAGCACCAGCTTACACAGCAAATTATATGTGATCCTACAAGACTGCTCTCTGTCACAGGACAGTAAGCTTTGGCCTATGAAACTGACATACATACATGCCCATAAGCACACGGTAGTCAAGCTGGTTGAATCATCCTGCCCTTCCCTTACAGAAAAGTCATGAATCTGGCAATGTAAACAAAAGCAGGAAGGTTTTCAATAATAAAAGAATTAGATCTGTGGCTCTGTGTTCTTCTGAGTTTGTTATTTACACAGTTTTTCAGGACTGGCCTGGAAAACTAGAGGCTCTCTTGCCAGCTCCTAGACACTTGTCATCACATATGATGAGAAAAGTGTCACACATTTTATCGGTTTAAATTGTTTCTGGCTTCATAGACATTATAAGGGTAGAGTTTTGATTGTAAGGGTAGAGCTATTTAACAGTACCAAAGGAAAAGCTGTTGCCACTCAAGTTCCCCTCCCACTACCAACCCCAGGAACATTAGGAATAGTGTCTCCATACAGTTGAAAACACGTCCCTCCCTCACTCAAAGAACAGTGGTTCTTCTCTTTCTGGGAAGAACCCAAAGAGGAACTATTGGGGAGGGGAGAACAGCCATATTGACCCAGGGCACAAGAAGCAAATGTACTTACCCACAGTCCACTAGCAGTTCCCTGATACTAAGGGTCATATGGAGTCCAGAACCCCAGCAGCCTACCCCACATAGCCCCAGCAGATTCTGGCACGTTCTTGCCACACGGGGCAATCATTTTGTAGTGTGTCTCACAGTCCAGTCCTATAGATGGCCTTGTACCGCAGGTATTCTTCTAAGCACTGAAGGACGTTATCATCCACCTTGGGGTCAAACTTGTTAGCTAACAGATGATGGTTCTGAAGTAACCAGTGCAGGTCCCCAGACCCATAAATACAGATCCCCCGTTGGTGAATCCCAGAGCAAGTTCTGTAAGATGCCCCGTACTCGATGTCTCCCTCGTGGTCTGCCCACTTGACCAGCCTTGCAATGGATCTCATGTCTGAGAGGTCATACTTGCGGTGCAAGGGAACTGAGCCAGGCATCCATGAGGCACGCTGAAGGGTGGCCCAAAGGTGCTCATCAGGGCTATAGGTGTCTTTTGCCCATTCAATCAGTTGCTGGGCTTTGGGGTTGTTTAAGACGTGCTCAATGAAGTCTCGAGAAGCCACCATGTAGGCATTCCCAGTGAACATGGTTATGTTATTAGGGGGAGGCTGTTTCTTCCTGCTGGTTATGTACAACGTGTCTGTCACCACATAGTGGTATTTCCAGCGCAGTGTTTTGTGTGCAGGTGGTACCTCTGACTCCATACTGTTCTCTCCATTCAATAGCTTGAGGGCCTGGACCATCTCTGCATTGGTCTTGATAGGGAAGTCTGTCCCACAGGTGTTCAGGAGGTATTTCCAAGGCACTGAGCTCCGTAGCAAGTCTTCCATGCAGTTCAGATCAGCCTGCACCCTGGACCAGGAGGCATACACCACTGTAACCAACTTGCTGGCTATGAAGACATTCGAGAAGCATGAGGCAATGGCACTGACAGCCTGTTTGAAAGACTCTGGAGACTTCTGATCCACGTGGACACAGTATATGTTCTGAGGGGCATACACAGCACGCAGTAACCTTTCAAAGTTTTCGATCTTCTCATGAACCACCATGGAGTATGCAATGGGGAAGTCAGCCTCTTCTTTGCTCAGCGGGTACTGTATGAACTTCCTTTGGGTCTTGAAGAGCCCACAGTGTCTGGTCATGGTGAGGTAGTCAGCATCTGTGAAAAGCTGCCGTGTCTTCTTACTCTCTAGGTTATCAAGCAGAGCCTTGACCACAGCTCCCTGATCCCCTTGGACCACCCCTGAGCAGTTTATGGACCCCTTTGCTGGCAGTTTCAGGGTCTTGTACAAGAAATCTCTACAGTATTGAAATTCCCTAGAGGACAGATCCAGAACATCAAAGTCACACTTCAGTCTGAGGGACAGTCTCAGGGCCACGATGGCCAGCAGCATGTAACAGCCCAGGGTCCAGGTGTGATAGCGCCAGCAGAGCTTCCCCCACAAAACCATCTTCATAGGATGGAGAGCATCCAGTGGTGCACAGGAGAGGAGGAAGAGGAGGAAGAAGGTTGACTCCTTGGACAGAACAAAATGCCTCCAATTACAAACTAACCATAAACATGTTCCCAGGAATGGCAAGTTAGTTCCAAACTGATGGCAGAAGATATTTCATCTTTGGAGAAATAGCTTGGGAAAGATATGCCGAACACCTGGTCACAACCTGACTTACTGAGGGAAATCTAGAACACAGTCCTACACAGTAGTTCACTACACTGCAGCCAGGACCTGGGGCAGGGGGAGAGAGAGACAGAGAGAGAGGAGCTGAACACTGCTGACATAAAAATGCAATTAGGAGGAAGTCCCCACCCTAAACTTATCTTCCTTATCTTTCTCCCCACCCCTTATCACCCTAGAGGGAGCTGTTATCGGAGTCTAGAATTTCCAGTTTGGAGAAAAACTGCATGAAATTCATTCTCAGCACCAATTCTAGAAATTAAGTTCCTTTACAAGGAAGCTATATATATATCTGGTTTGGCAATTTATATATGAAGATGTTTTTCACCACAGACAATGTTCAGACGTGGTATCGAGATGGCCAGCCTTTCATTTAAAAACATCCTTAAGCCGGGCATGGTGGCACACACCTTTAATCCCAGCACTTGGGAGGCAAAGGCAGGTGGATCTCTGTGAGTTCAAGGCCAGCCTGGTCTACATAGTGAGTTCCAGGACAGCTGGGGCTACAGGGAGACCCTGTCTCAAAAAGACCAAAAAAATTAAAAATAAAAAAATAAAAGCATCCTTAAAGCAGTACAATTACATATTATCCAAACTATGCGCAGCAATTATTCAAATGGTACAAGTTCAAAATATATCTCCACATACAGGTGAACATAGCTGTGTCTACATTTACTACCTCCTATGAACTAGAACAATTATTTCACATTGCCTCATTTAATCTTCAGAACCAACTAACAACCTCCAGCATAGTAGACCAGACCTCTTTTTTCAGACAGAACCTGAAGCCAAATGACTTACCAAATATCACACGTTATAAGAGAAACACCTTTGGACTTCCCTCTCCCTCCCAAGCTTTTATGCCTGTGAGCTTAACACTTGCCCACAAACCACACCTACTTTTAACTTTGGTACAAGACACTGACTACCACCAAAGAAAACTACCCAAAAAAAGAGAAACGGAATGTAGGACATCCTTTCAGCAATGACTTTCCTTTGTTGCTTTTCTTTGTGAGCATAACATTGTATTCTCTTCAGTAAAAACTGGGGGGCAGGGGGGATTAAGAGTAAGAAAAATGATGAAAGCTCTTACCTTTGCTATCTGCTTTGCTGCTTAGGTAAGCTCTCTTGCAAGGTTGTGACTCTCTTACCCATTGAAGACTAGTTTGGTTCCATGGAGGTACCAATTAACATTACGGTCCTTATCTTCTTCAAATCTCCTAGCCCTCCAAAATATATCTTCTCATGTTCACAAGGCATCCAAGAAATGGATCCGGGTTCCTCTTAAATCTTTGCAAAAGACAGAGCAGCATGTGGCTCTGTCACTCACCTTTTTGGCTTCCTATTCTCAGAAAGGAAGCAAATTTAGATAATTCCTTCAGGACTGCATTCTCAGGCACCCGTCATTCAGAGTCATTCGGGCAGGTGAGGAGGGGGAAATTCTGGCCTCATCTGAGAAGGCAAGCAAGTGTTTCAACCAGAACAGCCCAGTTTCTACCTCTGCTCTTCTGTCAGGAAACTATTCACAGGAAGCTCATAGGAGCACTGACAAGCCTTTTCCTCCCCCACCCAGCAAGGAATCATAGCAGTTCGCAGGTATTCCCTTCACCTTTTGTCTGGGAGTAAAATGTCACTCCTGTGTTTCTGGAACATTGCAGGAGTGAGACACTAAAATTACTCAAAGATATTTTTCTCTTGTTATTTTACACACACACACACACACACACACACACACACACACACACACACACCAATGAAAGCAAGTTCATTCTTAAAGGCAATTGACCTGAGTCAAGTGAATGAAATAAAGAGGTACAAATAAATAAAAAAGAAGGCAAATTGCCTTGTTTGCAGATGATAGATGATATGATCCTACGCATGAAAGACCTAAAACAGTCTACCAGGAAACTTTCAGATCTGATGATAAATACTCTCAGCAATGTGGCAAGATACAAAATAACAAAATCAATGGTTTTTCTACATAAAAATTAACTCACTGTAAAAGAAGTCAGGAAAACAATACTAATCACAACAGGAAAAAAAAAAAAAAAAACCAACCTAGGGATAACACTTAACCAAAGATATTAAAGAGCCCTACAATGAAAACTATGAAGCACTACGAAATGAAATTGTAAGGACTGGAGAGTTGGCTCAGCGGTTAAGAGCACTGGCTGCTCTTGCAGTGGACGTGGGATCAATTCCCAGCACCCACATGGCAGCTAACAACCATTCAGTAACTCCAATTCCAGGGGTATCAGTTGGCCCACAGGCACTGCATTACACATGTGCACTTACATGCATCCAGGCAATACACTCATACACATAAAATAAAAATAATAAATAGTTTTTAAAAGAAATTAGAAAACACTTGATGATGGAAAGACCTCTCATGTTTGGCAGAATTAATATTGAGAAAATAGCCATCTACAAAAGTGATCTACAAACACATTGCAATCTTTCCTAAATTCCATTGGTATTCTAAAGAGAAACTGAAGAAAAAAAAAAAAAAAACAAGACTCCAAATAGCCAAAGCCATTTTCAGCAAAAAAAAAAAAAGTAATGTTGGAGTTATCATAATACCTGACTTCAAACTATACTGCAAAGCCACTGTAACCAAAACAGCATGTTACTGACACAAAACAGATACACGAACCAATGGAATAAAAGATTTAGATTTACATCTACACTGAAATATCTACTGATTCTTGATAAAGCTGCCAAAAATGTGCATTGGAGAAAAGACGTCCTCTTTAGCAAGTGCTGCCAGAAAAGTGGATATCCATACATAGAAAACTGAAACTAGATCATCTCGCACCCTGTACAAAAACCAACTCAAAATCTATCAGAAGCCTTCGTGTAAGACCTGAAACTTTGAAACTGCTAGAGAAAACACTTCAAGGTTTAGGTACAGGCAATGTTTTCTGAATAGAACTCTTAGGGCTCAGGTAGTAATAGCAAGAGCTGGTACGTGGGATTACATTAAAATGCGTCTGCAAGACAGCAAAGAAACAACAGAGTAAAGACACAGACTGCAGAATGGAGAAAATCTTTGCCAGCCTCTCATCTGGCAGGGAATTACAGTCAAGGGTATATAAGAACTCAAGAGGTTAAACAGCAAGGGGCTAGAGAGATGGCTCAATGGTTGAGTGCTTCCTGTTCTTCTAGAGGATCCAAGTTCAGTTCCCAGCACCCACATCAGGCAGCTCACAATCATCTGTAACTCCAGCCTCAAGGGAGCCAGTGCCCTCTCCTAGCCTCCACAGGTACCTGCATTCACATGGCATACAGAAAAACATACACATATACACACACATAAATAAAAATAAATCTTTAAAAAGAATATTAAATAATCCAATCAGCAAATGAACAGATGAACTCAACAGAAATTTATAAATGAAGAAATAAAAATATCCAATAAACACATGAGAAAAATGTAGCCACACCCTTAGCTATAGGGGAAATGTAGATCAAAATTATGCAGATCTCATCTTACACCAGTCAGAACAGCTATTATTTAAAAAACTACAAATGTTGGTGAGGTTGGGGATGAACCCTTATACACTGCTAGTGGGAATGTAAATTGATCCAGCCGCTGTGGGTACCAGTATGCAGAGTCCTCAAAGGGAAACAAAATGAAAATGGAACTTCTGTGTGGCCCACCTACACCATTCTTGGGTATGTACCCAAAGGAATCAAAGTCAGCTTTCTATAGAAATACTTTCATATCTCTAACAATGACAACAGCCATATTAGGAATTACAATAGCCATTTAGCAATCTGCCTGGATTCCCAATGACTGGTAAATGGATAATAAAAACGTCGTATATGTACACAGCTGAGTTTTATTTGGCCATAAAAAATGAAATTATAACATCTTCAGGAACAGTACTAAACTGGGGGTCATATATTAAGTAAAATAAGTTAGACTCATAAAGACAGGTATGGCATGTTTACTCTCATATGGTAGACTCCAGCCTGGGGAGGAGACCCTGAATGAGGGTTATGATGTTAAAAGGGGGCTATTATGGAAGAGGAAATGAAGGTGCAGGGATGAGAAAGTGTAATAAAGAGTGAATGATGAATGTGATCAAAGTACATTATGTACAGTTATGAACTACAATAAGAAACCCTTACTTTGTACAAAATATGCTAATTTTTTAAATATAACTGTTCAAAAACAAGAATCCATTATGTCTGTCTGTGGTAACTGTTAGCAACCTGTACCTCACAGAAATACCAGCAGCCATGCAAGGTCTAACTTTCACTCACTATAATGTCTGACAGTCTAGTGCTGTTCACAGTTTAAAGACTGAATTGCATATAGACAGTTAAACTACTGTGAAACTTCATGATGTAGTTTTTGCAATAAAGTGTGGAAAATGCCTTCTTCAAAAGTCTGCTCTCCCTCCGTACCCCCACCCCACCCCAGAGCACTTACACATGTGAAGCCCTGGGCTCAACACCAGCACCCCTACCCCCCCACACACACACAATGGAACTAAGTATAAAGTAGATCTTTGAAAGGGGGTGACATTACATTTGGGAGGCAGTTGCAGTTGTTGGAACTAGCCACTCCCCTCTACCCATACCTTGGCTGGAGAAATTAAGGAAGGAACTGGAAATGACCAAATTTGAAATTTCGATAGATCGCTGAAGAGGTGGCACTCCTCAACTGTGCTTGAGTTTGGGGAGCTCAGGGGTCCCTAGTCTGAGATCCAGGCCTCTTGGAGACAGCAGGAATTGATCCTGCAAACGGACCATAGTGCATATCCAAAAATGACCTCTAGGAAGCCAGCAGGCGTTGACACAGTGATGCTCATAGAAACAGGAAAT